TTATAAGGTTTTAGTTAATACAACCATTCTGATTCCATTGGCTAGTATGGAGCTTTAAAAAAAATGCAATTTTGGGTGATTCTAATGGGCAACCCAGGTTGCTGATAACCTCTGGGATATCAGAACGTTTAAAACAAGTTGGCGGTGATATTATTTCAAAAATCTATTGCTCATCTGCCCGCAGGAAATAGTAATAGAAGTATGGTGTCAAGGACATGGAAAATGATAGTTCTCTACTTTTTCAATGAAAATAGTACACACTCAGTTCTGCCACATTTTAAGAGGTACATTGACTCATTGAATTCATTTGGTATGGCAAAAGATTGAACACCATATCATCTCTGACGTACAATTAGAAAAAGGCACAATAGTTGCCTTTACATATTTTTAAAAGGACTGTTATATGGAAGAGGAATTAGGGGGTTTTTTTGTTTTTTTGTTTTTTGCCTGTGTGTTTTATAAAGAGTGAAAATTAAAAGGAGGAAATTTAATCTCAATATGAAAAATAGCTTTATAATAAAATGGACCCTCTGAATGCCAGTGTTGGAGCTATCCAATCAGAAATTATGCAATATCAAATTACTAAGAGAGTAGATAGATTTTAAGTGTTCTCACCTCAGATAGATAATGAGCATGTGAGGTAATATGTATTTTAATTAGGTTGATTTAGCCAGTCCACAATGTATGCATATTTCAGAACATCTAGTTGTATATCATAAGTACGTACAATTTTTGACAATTTAAATAATAAATAAAAGAAATTGTACAATATCTTCATTAGGCTCTTGGAACATTTTTGTTTATATGTACCTTCTAAACTAGAACTACCTAGATTGCAGTGTCCATGAAAGCCAAATCCACATGTGTTCCCCTTTCCCCCCAGTAACAATGGCCCAGTTCTTCAATCAAATAGTATCTTAATGAGTGTTTATGAAGTGTATAAATGTTTGTTTTATATTTCCATATATTAGCAGTAAACTAAAGACTGTGTCTGCGATGCAGATTGAAGGTAGGCATCTGTACCAATTCAGACTTATTTTTAACTTTACTTAATGTATACAGTTGTTGAGACAGATTAGTGATTTTTGCTTCAAATGATATGATTTTCTTATTTACCTTCTCACTTGTCTCAAAGACAGTTGTGTAGAAACACACACACATACACACACACACACACACACACACACACACACACACACACATATCGTGAGCCTCACTCTATTTCATCACACCATCTAGAACATACCATCTGCACATCCAACACCTCTCCCCCTTTCTCGTTCACCTTCTCTTTGAGACCCCCCCGGATGTTGAGCCCCAGCGACTGCAGCAGAGCCTGACTGTTCATTTTACTCCATCCATTGCTCCTATCCACTGATCACCATGGCTAATCAGATGGCATGCCAGCCTGCACCAATCATTAAGATGACCCAAATTAACAGCCTGGCCATGTCACAGTACATTCATTCCACATATACAGACATGGCCTAAGTGTGAGGCAGAAACCCGGATGTGCTTATTTGTTTTTACATTGTAACATGCATTATCGATCTTCATGAGCTGCATTTGCGCCTTAAATATGCAAATGAGAATCATCTGTCAATTATTACAGCCAGAATTGAGATCTGAGGGCAAAAGAGAAAATATATATGCCTTTTGTTAAACCAGTATTTCCTTTCATTTGTCATTTTTCTTCACAGTTGCGTTGTAAAGCATCGTAGCTCAAGACATCCCCCAGCTTTTTACCTAGAAGGAATATTTAATCAGAATAGTTTTATATCCTGAAAAGAGATGCAAGTCTTCCCTAGCCAGGTGAGGAAAAGTAGTGCAGGTTCGGAATTGTGAGGTCATAATGAGGATTTTGTAATTTAATTTTCTACTGTATACAGGTCAGTATTGCTCAGTTCTTAATAAATCACAGGCTCCTTATCTTAATCACAGTTGCAGTGCTTGGCACGTTGCAGTGTCTGGTGTAAATTGCATCCCCAAATATTAGCATTCTTGATAGCCATTTTTTGACAATGCATTCTAATAATTAGAGGATCCTATTACCTGCTAAATGTTAGTATAAATTAACAACCATTATGCACAATAAGTTTTATAAAACATTTACAGATAGAGATCATCTTTAATTAAAATTAACTTCCATATGAAAGCCAAGTGCACTAATGATTCACAATGACCTTTTATTACCTGCAGTCCCCTGTTTTGGATGGATGATTGACAGCTTGCTGTTTGGCTACCATGTTGAATTTCAGCTGACAAGACTTTTCATTTTAACTCAATTTGCCCGCCTATCACAAGCTGGTGGCAGGCCAGACCCAAGTCACCCAGCTTTGCCTCAGCAGCTTGCTCTAGTTCTCATTAGTACGCATTTATTCAGTGGAAATTGGAAGACAAATGCTTGAAGGCATGTGAACTAAGTATAGCAAATTAGGTTTAAAGACTGAATATTTATAAGTATATGGAAAGTTTTTTTTTTTTAATTCTAGAGCGAATTTGAGAACTGAGTGCTAGCTTTGGTATAAAAGAAATGAAGATAGAGGGGGGGATTCTAAGAATAACAATACTATAAGATTTTTATTTCCATTTTAGAAATATGTAAAATCTCTCTGACAACACCTTATCAAATAGAAACCTGGCTTCTCTTTCATGGAGTGCTTGCACAATGAAGTTTAGCACCTCGCATGTGAGAAGGGGGGAAAAAATGAGGGTCATGTTCATTTGTTGCTTGGTTATCCCTTGGTATGTTTTAAATTGCCTTGTTTGTTCGGCACTAGCACAGAAACAGATGTTGCTCTACCGTGCAGGATAATTTACTGTACCTCCTGGTGCAGCATGGAAGTCCTCCCAGGGCCCAGCTGGTCTGTCAGTGGCACTGGCTGGTGTCTGCTCAACTATGACAACTACAAGTAGAGGCTGCAATTTTTTTTATTGTGGAGTTGTCATTCTTCTCAACATATAGCTCTGCCCGCAATCGTATTGGGGCTGGTGGAAAAGCTGCTGGCTTTTGTGTCTGTGCTGTTCGCAGAGCCACATAAGCTCGACTCTCCATTGTTGATAATAACGCAACTCATTACTTTTGTCATCTAATGATCATCGGCATGATCGCTCAGAGCAAGAGCCAACCTCATCTCGCACACATAACTGGTACTGGAAGGTAAAACAGATTTGTCACTGACGATCTGACCGCTAAGCCACACTTTGCGCTCCATTATTGTGATTAACTTCTGCATAAGATATGCTTGCCCAATTGTCATCTGTGATACTGCAGTGGGCGCAAGCTGCCATGCTTCCCGAGAGCACATCAACCAATCAAATGTGACCGTGTTATTTGGACTGCTATATGGCTGTCCTGTCACAGCAACAACCCCACAATTATTTTGCTTTTGTGTTTCTTCTTCCCACACCCCTACTGGACTTGTTGGGTGAACAGCACTGCTGCATATGTCAGCTACCATTTCACACCACAAGCTAAACGGATGCTGCGCTAGTCTTGATCCAACAGAGCCAGCAGCAGTACATGGGAGGCCAACCCCTTGCTTTTCACCATAGAAATGTTGGTCCTTGGTGTCCTGCCAGCTGAAATTCGTCGTGTCAGGTGCCTTGTGGCTATCTGCGGTAAAGTCCATGCTCCAAAACCAAAGTTCTTTTCTGGCCTCATCACCAACAAACCGATTTGACTCTGCCTGATTATAATAACGAAGGCAGTCCAAGAGAATATGCACAGCCTCACTGTACGTCACATTGAATCACCACACTGGCCACACAAAGCTGACCGCAGCCTCATTTCTTTAGACAAATGCATGCTTAAGGAAAAACCTCCTGGGAGAAGGCACCCAAAGCTACTTGATATCCCTATGCAAGCTGTGCATAGATTTAAATTTCACTGAAATAACATTTATTTTTGTTTTTTGGCTGATGCAAGTCTCCCTGATGGGTTTGTCTTTAATAATCTAATAATTGGGTACTCTGTGTTTCAGAGCTTTGCTGAACACCGAGAAACTGGGCTGTGTGTGCGTGTGTGTGTGATTTCTAAATCGCAAGTCATAAACACACCATTTGTTATCATGTGAAGGGGGAAAAAAACTCCATTTGGAGCCTTTTTCACATTGCTGATTAGAAAGAATCAAGCTTTATATTCTAGGACCCATTCACGCTGGTGGAAACATAGTCAGTTTTGATTATGAAGGAAGAGATGCAGACCTAGACAGGAGCTACACGCTGATATGCATGCTATCAGAATGATTTATGCAAATTATGCATATTATTCCCAAAGGAATTCCGCCTCAAACTGCCAGGATAAATTGCCGGAAATTAGCCATAAAATCTGTCGTGCTAGGAGCAAAAGGTGAAGGCCACTGGGAAAGCAAGGACATTCAGCTTCTGGAATCTTCCAGGATATGATGGTGGCTATTATTCTCCCAGGGTGCTGAGGAAAATGTGTTTTTCTTCTAAATCCTGTGAAAGTATTTTCCTTTTGAAATTTTTCCAGCAAATGCTGACTCACATTTTATTTACAGCTAGCATAAAAGAAATTAAGTGTTAAGCTGTCTCAGAAAGTGCTACTACGATTACTTTACTATTAGCTGCCTAAGTGGTCATTAAATGGCTAAGCCTGGCTTTAAAGCCCGGTGTTCCAAGGGTTGGTGGAATAACCCACCAGCAATGTACTTTAACTGGGATATGATTTTCATTTCAAACAAGCATACCTATAACACAGCACTCCCCTCTTGAAGACCATGCTTTCCCACAAAATCTTAATCAGTGACTTTCGGTCCAGGTATAGCACTGCTGTCTCCACCTGTGAAATGCTCCCAAGTCATGTTGGGGCCAAACCACTGCCCATCCTCATATTTCCTCTTGGTGCTCGTTGGATGTGATGAAGAAATGGTTTCTTTTTCAATCAAGGCTATAGTTATGAGCTATAAAGGCCAAATGAGGGCACTTTTTAGGAGCAGCCCGGTTTTAACAAACTCTTGTGTGTTTGTCTCTTTCAGAAAGCACCATTCTTGAGGTGTTACGACTGTGCTCATTTTCATCTACAATTCGTTTTGTTGAGGAGGACTTGACTCTTGATGCAGAGATCAAGGACTGCTGTGTGCGAAAGGGAGACTTGGTAGCTGTCTGTCCTCCAGTCTTACATGGTGACCCTGAAGTCTTTGAAGCTCCAGAGGTAAATAAACATTAAGCCCATCTTCCTGGTGGTTTCTTTCTCTTGCCACTTTGTTCCAAAAGGAATTATTGAGATAACTTGATGACTTCTGTTTTTCCTTCCAGTAAGAAAGTTTTTCTCTTTTCTGAAGTGTTTTCAAAAGATCTATCCTTGAAGAGTTTCATGATCTACAAATAGAAATAGAGTGATGAGGCTAAATGCTATCTGCTTCAAATGAATTAGACATTGTACCTTGGCCACCATTACCTTTCAGTTGAAATTACATTTTGCTTGGCAGAGAAATATTGAAAACTATGGAGGGCTAGCTATTGACAGGTGGCTTAGAGAATAAATAATTACAACTGTTTTGCTAAGTGTTTCCAAAGTGGGGTTGACTATTCCAAAGTCAAATACCATAATTGCAGCAGTTAAGCCCACATACTTTTTCACCTCTTGTTAAAGGTATGTGCCCCTTCTTGATCAATTAGTATGGCATTGTGAACTTGAGATTGCAAAGCTGCTGCTCACGGGTGAAGCTCTGAGGGTAATTGTGTCATCTCCTTGTATTTTTTTTCTGAAGCTGGAGTTAATGAATATCAAAGACTGGAAATTAATCCACCCTGGTTCATCCCTTAATACCACTTCAGAGATTCACCACCTGCATGCAAATTCAATGCAGTTGTATTCTGCCTGTGCTTCTCAGGAAGTAATGTTGCTGCAGCAGCTTTTGTATATAAAATGCATTTTTTTCAAAGGGAAACTTCTGTGCTCTTTTTGAGCAGTTTATAGCTGGGCCACTTTTAAACCCAGTTTTTAAGTTAGATATTTTGCAACCAGGCTAGATAGATTACAATGCTGTTGAATTTTGGAAATTAATAAGAAAGGAGCAGATTCAAATACAATAAGTTAGTTTGCATTTATTTCATCGGCAAAGGCAAATGACTTATGTGGGGGGGAATGTATGTATGATTTCTGTGTGTTTCAGGAGAGGCATTATATGAATAATGATAGCAAATAGGTTATAGAATATTAGTGAATGAATGATAATTTTGCAGACAACAAGCTTTATCTCCTCATTTGTAACTACAAAAAAGATTCCACACATAGTAGATGTCCAATAAGTAGGGTGAATGAATAGCTATTATCTGAAAAATATTTTAAAATTTTAAAATAGTTTTATTTCTAGCTACAATATTATTTATTCAAATTTTGCTTATTATTTTCCTTATATGATTCTTTCATAGTCATTAAGTTTATTATGTATATTACCAAAGTTAAAATAGCATTAAAGTTATCAACAAGTAATAACTATTTACCAGAGTACTGCTGTCCTTATGACCTGTTCTTTGGGCTTCTCCTATTCCCCATACCCATGATGAAAAAGAACTTGATTTAGACTTTTAGGGGCTTAAAAATCAAAGTTTAAAATTGGAAGCATGCTAATTTATATTTTTCCTTGGAGTGCTAAATATCAATGCCCAAAATGTACATAATAAATCATCTACTCTTAATGATAATCAGAAGGTTTACCTCATACAAAATCAGTGGCAGAACAAAATTTTAATAATGTGAAAACTGATTTAGCATCATTAGGATAGCTCTAACTTGAGTTGATGAACATCCTCTTTATTTACTAGATTTAACATTAGCAAGTTATGACTGATTAAGGTTAAAATTAACTGGCTAATTTATTGCCATGTCATTGTTTCCTTGAAATTAGTTGTGAAATGCTGATAATTCCTGGCACAGAAAAAAATAATATCGTTCATAACCATCTTAACAGGACTTTGTGAGGTCCTATAATTTATTCTATAATGTTTACTGAGTTCCTACCATTGTCAGGCATATAGATTTATTCCTTTGATTCTTAACCGCTTAACATGGCAATAAGTAGATGCTATAGATTCATAAAACAGATGCCCATCCCAAGCCACTGTGTACTGAAGAAAGATCTAGAAAAGTCTGTCATTAGCCATTTGTCCCTGAAAGGATAACTCAGAAGCTCATCAGAGACTCCCATTCATCACTACCTGCTTTTTGTGTTATATACACCTTGGGTGGGAAGATCAGGCCTTACATGCAGAAAAACAGACAATAACTGCTGTTGGACAAAAATGTGAGGAAGACTAACTACATTTATAAGGATAGCTGTTCTTGGAGAGCACAGAGACAAGGACCTTAGCAGAACATAAATTCTCCCAACTCAACAAAACATCATTTCAGGTTGTCTGAGTGCCAAAAGACTCTAAAATATTGCATTTCAAAGACAGACCAAGGTCTTCTTCACACTTGAAAGCTTTTGCACATGCAGCTCCCTATTCCTAGAATGTACCTCCTTACTTATATACCCAGCAGGTTTCAAATGACTCCACAAGAATCATTCAATCATCTCTTCTTTGGTGATGTACCTGAATCCCACTTCATTCCTCTGTGACCTATGTATTTCTTTGTTATGTAGCATACTCATGGTATTGTGCAATTATTTGTTTACTTGTCCATGCTCCCATATTCCGTAAACTCCAGAAAAGGAAAGCCTGTGCCATTGCCCTCTCTGTATTCTCAGTGCCCAGCACTCAGGAGGCTGTCCATATATGTTGAATCAATAATGCTTGATTCATGCTTGGATGGATGAATATATGGAAAGTGAAAATATGCTGCAGTTAAAATTGTAAACCAGGACAGATATTGCACATTTAAATATGTACTGGGCCTAAATAGACCAAATAAAGAAATAGTTTGTGTATAAATAAAGGAATACTATTAGGAATGGCAAGAACCATGGCAAAAGAGACCCCAGAAGGCATCTAAATAGGACCACTGGAGGATACTTCCAAACTAGCCCTCAGCTCCTTCAAGCATTTAGACCTGGTTTGGCCAAGTCATTTCGATTTGTTCTTTAAAAGAACCTGAAAAGACAGACTTTGTGGTGCAGCTTTGAATTTTTAAATAGGAAAATAATGTTTAAAACACAGTGTGGGATAAACAAAAGATATTTTGAGTCTTAGTTGGGCCTAGAAGTTACCAACATGTAACCTTTGTGCTGAGAATTATTTTTTTCTTGAATATTGGTTTTTAGTTTATCATGATGTTAGTCATTCAGGTGCCTCTTACCTATGAGGGAAAACAAATTGTCAAGTGAAATTTAAAACAGTAAGAGAGAACAAAGGAAACACCCCATCTTGATTCTTCCATTCTCTTTTATTTTTATTTTTTTATGATTCTTTTAAAAAATTTTTAATTTTTTTAATTTTGAAGATGTGGGGTACAATTCAGGGTTAGGTATACAAATGTTTATTATGCAAGTACCCTTGTTGATGAGGTGTGCCCCACCCCAGTAGATTCCCACTACTGCCAGGCCTTCCTCCAACCTCCCTGGTAGTTTCCCACTACCACCAATCCTTTTCTTATTACAGTAATTGTTCAAGTGAGAACATGTGACACTCAGTTCTTTGTTTCTGTGATAGGTCACTCAGTGTTACAGACTAAGTCCATCCAGGTTGCCTGCCATGAAGTTCATAGTTTTGTCCTTCATTATGACTGCATAATATTCCATCGTGTATATATACCGCTTTTCTTTTTTATCCAGTCCTCCTTCAATGGGCAGCACAGTTGGTTCCATGACTTTGTTATTGTGAACAATGCTACAATAAACATACATGTGCAGGTATCTTTTTCATAGAGTGACTTGAGTTCCTCTGAGTATATTCCCAGTAGGGGGATTGCAGAGTCATATGGAAGGTTGATTTTTAGATCTTTTAGGAGTTGCCAGACTGTTTTTCACAGATGTTGTATTAGTTTATACTCCCACCAACAGTGCAGAAATGTTCCCTTTTTGCCACATCCTCTCCAGCATCTGTTGTTTTTTAAGTTATTGATGATGGCCATCCTGACTGCAGTTAGGTGGTATCCCAGTGTGGTTTTAACTTGCATTTCTTTGCTGACTAGTGGGGCTTAGCATTTTTTCATGTATTAGTTGGTTGCTGTTATGTCTTCTTTTGAGAAGTGTCTATTCATATCTCTTGCCCACTTTGTAATGGAGTTGTTTGTTTTTTTCTTTATGGTACATTTGGATTCCCACTCTCACCCCTTCTTTTCAACATAGTTTTGGAAGTCCTAGCTAGATCAATCAGACAAGAGAAGAAGATCAATGGTATCCAAATGGGAAAAGAGAAAGTCTAGTTATCCCTCTTTGCAGACAACATGATTCTATACCTCGAAAACCCAAAAGAATCTGTCAAAAACCTCCTTGCACTGATGAAGGACATTGGCAAAGTCTTAGAGTATAAAATAAATATGTAAAATACAGTCGCATGTCTATACGCCAACAATAAACAAGCAGAAACCCAAATAAAAAGCACAATTCCATTCACAATAGCCACACAAAAAATAAAATAAAATACTTTGAAATTTTCCTAACCAGAGACATGAAAGACCTTTACAATGAAAACTACAAAACACTGCTCAAGGAAATCAAAGATGACACAAACAAATGGAAAATGTTCCATGCTCATGAATTGGAAGAATCAACATTGTTAAAATGTCCATCTTACCCAAGGCAATCTACAGACTTAACACAATACCCATTAAATTACTGTCCTCTATTTTCATAGGTGTAAATGTTATCCAACAAAGTCTAGATTATCTATTAATTAATTAGGAGTAAATAGCTTTTAAATTTTTTCTAAGGGCTTCACTAAATGTATGTCTATTACTTGTCAGAATTCATACAATTGGCTCTCAAATAATCAATAGGAAATCGTGGTTTTTTTCCTATCACAATACAGCATCCGGAACTACAGCAATGGGAAAAAACAGCAGTGGGAAAAAACCAACAAAATCTGTTGGTTGGTTTTCCTAGGTCCTGAGTTGCTAAGGGATAAAGGGAGACTTGGTGACATTGTTTGGCCTATAGGGAAGCAATATCAAACATTACTATAACCATGGAGTTTCTTAAGGTAAAGAAACATAGTGAAGTGACAATGTCATCCTAAAGCCTTTAAAATATCCCTCAAAAGCTCTGGCATTGAAAGCTTCATGTAATTCTTCCCTATCTAATTATCAGAATTATAAGAATAATAAAAGATAAATGAATTTGAAAGTCCTTGAGAAAATTCTAAATCACTATACAAATTGTGGCATCAGTATTATTTTGATTATTTCCACAGTTCTTAGAACATATTAGTCTTAACAGATAAGGAGATACTCTCAATAATTTTTTTGTCTGTATCTCAAGCTGGAATAGAGATCATGCAATTAGTAGGCTTCTAAGAAACAAACTTATATGGAACATTTACTATCCAAAAAGCACTTTGATAGACATAGTGGGTGACATTGAAATTAAAAAAAGAAGAAGTAGAAGGCTCTTGCCCTTATAAACTCACAGTATAGGGACTCAGCCTTATCACATGAGGCTATTTTCTCATGGTCAGATGCTTCTTATTGAGAGGGTTTCTGCCATATCAGTAAATTTGCACCTTATACCTACCATATTGCAATGAGCAGTGTTCTTGTAAACCAGAGGTCCAAACCCTAATCTGTAGCACTTGTCAGTTTTCATGGTATAAATACTCTTACCTTGGCCAATTTCATGTTACCAATGTGAAGAACCTAAACACAGAGCTGGGAGGAGATATGCACACTCTCATAAACTGACATGCCACTGATTTGAACACAAGTCATGGAGATTAAAAGGGACTTCCGTATTCTGCCATCTTATTCCCAGGAGGAATAAGCCAGAGACAACAGTGCTCCTTAGCCATCCATCCAAAACATTGCCAGTTTTTGCTGATTACCAAAAAGGCATATCTTTTATCAGTTTATATTCCTATACCCCAAATTATGAATTGAGTGGATTTAAGGTATGAGTCTATTGTGTGTCACCTACCTCAGCAAGACCCGTCTTATGCTTTAATGCTTTGTATACAGGAGTGGTCAAAAAAATGTGTTGTACCGAACTTGTGTTGAAGGTTTTAAACACACAGATACATGAAAAATGTGATAGTTCCAAGCCCCTGGGATTTCTTGGCTCTGCCATCTCCTGTTGATTAGCTCTGTCTTCAGCCTGGTGGCAGGATAACTGTGGCAGTTCCAGATATCTTAGTCACACACAATAAGATCCAGAGGAAAAAGGGTAATGAACCATTTCTTTTCACAAAGGAACTACTCCTAGATGTCTCTGTAGACTTTTTCCTTGTGGAACTGACCAGATGGGTCCACACATCCTATCCCAAGCCAATCAGAGGCCAGAGCAATGTGATTACCAAGATTAGTGCTTAGGCAAATCTTATGCAGAAGAACGATGCTGGGGTGTCAACTGCTATAATCATTAGAGGAACAATGGGGAATTTCAGTGCCTTACACCTTCTCTTATGATTTTTCTATTCTCATTCAATCAGCTGAACTTCTTTCATTGTGAAGCATTGAGCCTATTATGGCACTGCAATGAATTTAAGTCAGCATGACGAATTCCAAGTTTAAGTTGTTCCAAATGAATAGATACATCTTGAGTGTCTGGAACCTTTGCTCTGTGTCACTGTGACCCCAAAATCTCAGTGGTGAGATTATTACGCCCCTTCCCTCTTTGGCTAAAACCAAACTATACCTCCAGCAGCTCTCACAGGGTTCTCCATGTGATTCCTGCTCGGGTTCTCCATGTCCAGGCAATAGAAGAAACTGAAAATTAATTTTAACTCAAAAAATATATTTATGACTGACTGAGTAGAAGACTGAGGGAGCTGAATGTAAACACTAGCTGAAAGTCACTAGCTGAAAGTAGGGAGCTCTCCTGCACTGTGTGCTGACTACTGGGTCCCCTTAGAGGGCAGCACATTCATTTTTCACAAAGAAGAACCAGAAAGCCATGGTGTTGTCTGGCCTTACTTATGATATCAAGACATGAAAAAGTTATAGCCCAAGCTAAGTTTCCCTTTTGCATTTTCTGACTTAACCAGTGGGGCTGCTGTGAGAGCGTTTCTAACAAATCACATCATAGCAAAGTTCACCTAGACCAGTTAGGCCTAGGCAGGGAGCTCTTGGGAACAGTGTCAGCCTGGGGTGTTCGAATACATTCCAGAACTGTGATAAAATGTACTTATGTTCCAAAGTGTTCAAAATAGTAGTTACCAGAAATTAAGCAGTTTTAAAATGCAGATAGATTTTTGCCATTATTCTTACATTCACTTGCAAGTTAGAAGGAAATAGAAACTACTCAAAGTTTTTCTATGCATAAATACTTACCAAAATAAGTAACCTCGGTAAATGAGGATAAACCCAATATTTTAAAGGAAATAATTCACTGACATTAGCAAAACAGGCACCGAGTAAGAAAATTATATCATTTGTGAGGGATTCAGAATCTATTCATGTATTGTAGGGTTTTCACCTTAGCCTAAAATGCTTTGGATCTGACCTACTTCTTTGCATTTGACTTCATGTAGTTCATGTCACACTTGTGTGCTGAGCAGATCTAATGCTAATGGGCACCAACTACAGAAAATACTTGGTCGTTTTCATGCAAGACAAGAGCATTAATTTAATCAATCGTTTAATTCACCATAGGCTAAAATAAGGTCACTCAGTCTCCTCTAAGAAACTCAAGTAAGAGTTGAACCGTAACCCTGTGGCAGCAAGACAAAATTAAGATGGTGAGCCAAACATGCGAGGTAAATCAGTCTCGTACTTTTCTGTAACAAGTAATATAGTTTATTTATGAAAACATATCAGAAATACTTGACGCCTTAGAGTAAACCCAAAGAAAGTTCATTTTAATAAAACATTCATAAGTAGGAATTTGCTACATCACAAAACAAGTAAGATTGATTTTGTGGCTTAGGGCCTCTCTAGTGCTTTGTCCAAAGCTTTTTATTTTATATCTATTTAACCCAAATATAAGCATTGAATCTTAAACTTATAGTTCTCATCCATCATCAGTAGCTGGATGGGAAGGGATAAGAGAAAAGCAAATTAGGGACCCACAGTTAGGCAGCTCCTGTAGCTGGTAGTATTCACTAGTTCTTGGTAACAATGGCAGTCCCACAAGAGTTTTCACCTTCTGTACAACATTGGTATATCAAGTACCATAGGTCAGGACTCGGCTTAGGGAGCAAAAATAGAGATACTACCTCTATACGTAGGAAGGTTGGCTTAGGAGAGACATACAAGTAGGGAAAAAAAAGTCATTGGGTGTTTTGATTTCACCTCGATATGGGAGAAATCGGTCTCTAGTGGTATTTGAGTTTTTTACAAGCTTATACCTCACTTTCATTTTGTCATGTTTTCTGGCATTTGTCTAATTTGGAAGAGCTATTTAAGACAGGTAGAAAGAGCTAGCAACTTAGTGACCCTGAACCCAAACTACTGCATGTAAAATTTTAATCTTAACACTGTGTTCTTCTTTACAGGAGTTTAGATATGATCGTTTTGTAGAGGACGGTAAGAAGAAAACCACCTTTTTCAAAAGAGGGAAAAAGTTGAAGTGTTACCTAATGCCATTTGGAGCCGGAACCAGCAAATGCCCAGGCCGATTTTGGGCAGTTTTGGAAATAAAACAATTGTTGGTTGTACTTTTAACTTATTTTGATTTAGAAATAATTGATGACAGGTCTGTAGGAGTAAACTACAGCCGTTTGTTGTTTGGTATTCAGTATCCAGATTCTGATGTTTTGTTTAGGTACAGGGTAAAAACTTAGAGAAGCTAAAAAGAAAGAAAATAAATCTATCAAAATTAACCGAAATGTCTTAAGTATATCTCTTTGCTTTTTAATTTCTGCAAATGTAACTGTTTTGTGTATTCATTTTAAAAGTACCAATTTCTATTTGATTTGAGATCAGTCTAGTTGGTCCAAGGTCTCCTAGGTCACAAAGCCTATTATAAAATGACACAAGATGGTAGCATGAAAATTGACATCAAAATCAACTTAATGATAAGTTAAAAATAGGTTGTTGGTTTTTGTTTTAGTTTCTACTTGCTGTGATTTTCATTGTTATAATAAACGTACCTTCACAATAATAGGTTTGGCACTGTGGGATTTTCTTAAGTCACTCAAATTCTTCTCAAATATATAAAAATACACTTTATATACTACTCGAAAATTGTGCTGGAAATGAACACAGTCTAACAAAAATTCAAAAGTCTCAGAGATGAAGGAAATTACATTTTCATGAGCTACACTGGATGAAAATGTTCTCTTCAAGGATAATTTTAATAATATCTATATTTCCAGGATACGTTTACTTAAATGAGTTTTGCAGTAGATTAAATACTTCAACTTCACTTCAATATTTAATCATCCATAAATGCTCTTTATTACTTTGTATACTGTGACTCAAAAGAACAAAATTTCTTGTTATGTAAGATCTCTCATGTTCAAGTTAGATACTTATAAGATTTAATGTGTAAAAATACCACACAATCTATAATATCTTGTAGTTGCCCTAGACACTAGTGTTAGGTTTATTATAGGAGCAGTTGTTGTCATCATTACAGCATCCATTGTAGCATTTGACTTTCTTGTAAACTATAAAAATTATGCAAATATTGCAATTAACCCTTTCTTAAATGCTTTCATTTATGTAAACAGAGACTAAATGCAGTTTTTGTTCTTGAGATCTCACCTTTTGGACTTAAGTTTCATGCAGTTATTTTGAATTACCACATTATGTAATGCAGTATGATTTCACATAGCATAAGCAGCATTATGTCCAATGATTCAAAGATTTTTTTAAAAAATCAAAAATGAGCCGGGCATGGTAGTGCGTGCCTTTAGTTCCAGCTACTTGGAAGGCTGAGGCGGAAGGATCGCCGGAGCACAGCAGGTCGAGGCTGCGGTGGCAGGGAGCGGCCACTGCACTCCAGCCTGGGCGACAGAGTGAGACTCCAACTCAAAAAAAAAAAAAGAAACAGGATATCACTATGTTGCCCAGGGTGGTCTTGAACTCCTGGGCTCAAGTGATCCTTTTGCCTCAGCTTCCTAAGTCAAAAGATTATAGGTATGTGCCGCTGTGCCTGGCAATTCAACAGTTTTTAATATCAGAGTACCCAGTGATTGGCATCTGACATCAATGATGATGCAATACGTAAACAGGCAAGACAAGTAATACAGCCTAGTTAACTCGTTGCATTAATTAGAATTTCTGACGTTTTAGAAATTTGCTATTGTTTTTAAAAAGGAAATTGAGTTTTTAAATAACATTATAAAATAGTATCATACTTAATAAATAAGATATTCTAGCATTTATTTTCTCCTTCCTGAAGTACGTGCTCTGAATGTTCCTTTAGTGAATGTCTGCTGGGGTAAATTCAGTTTTTGCTTGATTGAGGATGTCTTTATTTTTGCCGTCATTCTTAAAAGATGGGTTTTCTGGGTGCACAAGTATAGGTTGACAGCTATTTCCTCGAAGTACTTTGAAAGTGTTTCATGTTCTTAAGACATCAATTATTGTTATTGAGAGGTTAGCTGCTAGTCAGTTTAATTACTTAGAAGATAGTCTGTTCCTTCTCTCTGCCTACTTTAACATGTTATCTTTGTCTTTGATGTTCTTAGCTTCTATTTCTCATACTTGCATGATATGCCATTTTTTTAGTCTGAGAATGAATGTCTGTCATCAAGTATGGAATACTCTTAGCCATCCTCTCTTTGAGTATTAGCTCTTGCAGACTGTATGTTAGATCTTCTCACTCTATATGCCACGTTTGACTTTTTCACACTGTATCGTCTATTTCTAACTTACATTCAGGTAATTTATTTAAATGTTTCTTCCAGTTTCTTCTCAGTACAGTATATCTAATTTGCTCTTTAACTCATCCATTGGATTTATTTTTCCTTCTTTTTGTTTTAATTTCATGTTCATAGGGTTGCATAATCATTTTTCTTATACTCCTTAGTCCATGATACACAATTATAATTGGTTCAAGCAAGGCCCCTCTGGCTTCATTTACTTATTCTATTTTGTCCCTAATTCCCATCATCATCAGCCCTGAGCTGCTACAAATTCTGTCCCTAAACGCTGTCTCCTACTCCATCCCCCCTCACATATTTAGTCCGTGACAACCTTCATTCTCCCTAAAATGTTCTAAATTTGCTACATTCCATACTCAGATCTATCCAACCTTTTTCATTCTTTGAGGTCTCCTAGGCTTATTTTAAGTCAGGAGTGCCAGCTTCCAACTTGTTAGACTTCAGGATTTTAGTCCAGTGAGTTTGCTAAGTTCAATGATTACATTTTTCAGTTTGAAGATTCCCTTTTGTTCTTCATATTTGCTAGTCATATTTTGACAATATCTTGTTCCTTCATCATACACTCAGTACCATTTTTATTCCTTTAATCATATTAAGCAATCATACTTTATGTTTTATATCTGATATTTCTAAATCATCAATGTTTTGTAGACCTCTCTGTAGTCTATGTGTTTATTTATTCATTTATTTTCACTCTTATCCAGGATGACTTATTTCCCAAGCTCACACTCCTTTGAATTTTATCTCTGGAAATGTTTTAATGCCTGGGTTTAAAATTCATTCCTCCAGAGAGAATTTGTACGTGCATTTATCTGACTGCTGATGTTACTACCAAACTCTGCTCTAAATTTTCAGTTTGATCATCTGGAAGGAGAGAAGGAGGCTACCTAGGTATTGTGGTTTCTAGCCCTAAATAAAGAAGAATGCAATCCTATTATCAGGAATAGGCAGAAGATGCTTTTGAGGGTTTGTTGCTTGCTTGCTTGTTTGTTTTTTGGTTTGTTTTTGCCCAAAGCCAAGGTTGAGACAGCAAGTATATCCACAGTCTTGCTCTGTGGAGCAAAGTTTCTTTCTAGTTCACCTAAGTATGTTGGCTCTGCAAGTTCTTGGCTTTATGCAGAAGTCTTGAAGTTTGTACACACTTACACAGAGGCATGCCCAGCCTGGGCCCTAGGCTTTATCTCTTGTCTATCACAAAGCATAGTTCATCTATTTTGTACTAAAACATCTAGTCTGCCATGTTGCTTGAAGTGGAAACCTCCATATTCTTAAATTCAACTTAGCAGTATGCTTTTAGTTACAGCAGAGAAAACACAGGAAATTATTCTATTCCAATTTCTGCTTAATTTATAATTAGAAATGTGTATAGTAATTTAGAATACAAAGTAAGAATAAATAAAATGGTTGAGAAAAGATTATATAAAAGGAATGGACAGTAGAACCAAAACAAAGCATGAGAGTCTTCTGACAGACTTACATCCAGCAACTAAGTAGTGTTTATGAATAGAAAATAGAGAGAAACAAATTAAAAGACATGAATTCTAACTGTGACATTTGCCTCTCAGTGTTTCATTGTCCTTATTTACAAAATGAAAATAACAAGGCCTTTTTGACATCAGGGTTCATTATAAGGATTAAACATAGTAACATGCAAGTTTATTTTGAAAAGTGTAATGCAATATACCTATGCAAAGTTTAACAGATTCTAAAACAATGTTATGCCTTTTAAAAACTGCTCCTTAATATTCGTTACAGGGGATCATTTTTTATAGTCATTAGTTGATTTGTTAATCATTTATTCAAACAAACATTTATTGACTATTTCCTCTATTCTAGATATGATGCTAGGCACTGGATTACTCGTCCCTTCAAGAACACACAATTTGCTAAGAAAAATAACACAAACATAATATATTATAAATTTGGTTGTAAGTAATAAATTCATCTCATTAAAACTATTTTAAAACTCTGATTTATCACTATTCTAATTAGCCTTCCATAAGTTTTCCAAGGAAGTATTCTGTTAAGAGAAATCACTGTATATAATTTCACACAATAAAAACATATAGAACAGGTGTGATAATATGTTAAAATAGCCCAAACCTATACAGTTACTGAGGTTCCAGAATGTTTAAAAAATGGTATTATATATTGTAAAAGCCTATCTTTTCATTTATACATCTTCACCTAAGTTTCAAGTTAAAGAAAACAACTAATACCCAAGATATTACTTTATATCAATGGCCTACAGTAATGAAGCATTTGGTTAGCAGAAACTAAAGCCCTGAAGAAGTTAAGAAAACAAAACAAAACAATTTTTTACTAAATCAAGCATGTTGAAAAGCAACCTAAAAGAAAACTTTTATCTGTCTTGTTTTGGCTTTCCTGGCAAAATTTCTTATAAAAGTTCCATTTTATAATTAAGTTTTGTTTCACAAATCTAAGGCAAAGGAACTTCCATATTCAATATCTACAGAAATACTAAAACTTATTTTATCACAAAAAATAATTTGGGTAACATTTTCTGTGAACATCTTGTACCTAAACAGTGGAATCTTAAGACCATTCAAAGACCAAAAAACAAAATTTATCTAGGTTTTGACCTGAGCAATAAAAGAATGCCAATAATTATGAAAACGAATTAAGGTCAGGCTCAGTGGCTCAGCCTGTAATCCCAGCACTTTGGGAGGCCAAGGTGAGTGAACTGCCTGAGCCCGCGGGTTCGAGACCCACCCAGATAACTTGGCAAGACCTCATCTCTACAATAAATCAAAAATTAGCCAGGTAGCATGCGTCTATAGTTCTGGCTACTTGGAAAGCTGAGGCGGAAGGATCACCAGAGCCCAGCAGGTTGAGTCTGCAGTTGCCAGGAGCCTGCCACTGCACTCCAGTCTGGGCAACAGAGTGAGACTCCAACTCAAAAAAAAAAAAAAAGGAAAAGAAAAGAAAACAAGAATTACATATCCTTAGAATGTGCACTTTTTAACCTATTAAATTCTCCAATATTGCAAACTATTATTTACTTGCACTGCATAATTAGATATTCACACAATTAAGAAAAAGTTAGCAAGCCAAGATTACATTCTCTGTAGCATTTTAAATTAAGAGTGATCATATAAAACTCTTTAGTATTTAATTGAAATAATTATTACTCCACTTCATCATGTTTATCTAAATCAGTGATCATTGATGTTTGAACTTTTTTGCTTAAATGTCTATTTTGTTTGTACTACTTTGTAGAGTAAGATAAATTTAATTCATGAAAAACTCAACTGCATGATCTTAAATAGGTAATAATTTTTCAATACTTAGGGTTTATAATATTTTTATATATAGGAGTACTGTATATTATTTTAAATGGCATCCTGAAATTACTTGCTTAATATTGTTTTTTATTTTTAAATGACACTTATGTGGGTTTATGAGGAAACAAAATGTTTCAAAGATGATAGATAGGAAATACAAGGACTTTGTAAGTC